GTTTGTTGTCCCAACAGCACTGGAACAACATCCAGATTACACTGACAGGGCATTTTGTTGACTGTAATCTTTGCATATTCATGGTTGAGTAAAGTCATTTTTCACACAGACATTTTTGACTGTGTGGACATTTCTACATTCTTGACAGATCTGACACATACAGTTTCACTTGGGAAGAAGAGGAGGAGTATTTAAACAATAATAAGTTGCTGGACTTTTTCTTGACCAAAGACGAAATGAGAAGAGGAAGGAGAAGAAGACGGACGAGGAGAGGAGGAGACAGAGTAGAAGAGGGTAAGGGAGAAGAGAAGCTCAACCATTTTTCCATGATGAGGTTGCATCATAAAGAGAACTGAACTCAACCTATTATTAACATGCTCAGAGAAGTGAGTTGTTCCCAGAGCTGCTCTATCTGTGTGACTGTGTTTTTATTAGGGAGGAGCCCTTTTGTGTGTCTTTGTGGAAAGCAGAGAATATTTAGGGAAACTGGGCAGGCTCCCGCAGGCTCCCACCCCCCCTCCCCCCTCAGCAGCCCCCATGTGCACTCCACTCCACAATTTAAGTACTACCAGCTGCATCACCATGAGAGCAGGAAGAGAAAGGAAGCAACAACAGTTGGGAAGAGAGGGTGAAGCAACACGAAGGAAAATGAAAGTAGGGAGACGGGACACACGCCAGTGATGGGGGAGGAGGAAGAGAAAAAGAAGGGGAAAAACAGGAGAAATATTGGGGAGTGCGAGCTCAGGAGGGGTGATCCTGGAAACAAATCAATGGCTGATACATTCTTGGGGACTAGTTGGATTGGAGCTCTTCCTCCTTGGCTGCCTATTGGCTGAGAGCAGCTCCAAGGAATGTACCGGCTCCTGCCTATGGAAAGCAGAGGCAATGACCTCCAGCTCTCTCACAGTGGCACAATTGTTTGAGTTTGAAGAAAAAGGGGGATGGAGACGGAATGTAGAAAGAAGCCCATAACTCTTTCTTTTTCCTCCATGCTCTCTCTCGTTTTTTGTTTCTAACATATGTCAAGCCCATCTCTCTCCTTCCTTCCAGTCTCTTTCCCCTCGTTTCTCTCCAGTCCCATCAAACTCCTGTGTGTAAGATGACTGTTCCAGGTTTGCAATCTAGGAACAGTCAAAATGATTTCCCAACAATCCCACACTGTCTGGGTGGATGAGACTAAACATTAACTGTCAGGAAACCAGGCGTGAAGTTACCCAAGAGAGGTTGAGGACATCTACAGGAATGTTCTAGTAAAGACATAACAAAAGGTTAGCCATGAAGCTCCAGATGATGAACGTTCAAAAGGAAAGGAAGCGAAGAAAGCACTAACATATGTCAAGAACAACAATAGTAATAATAAATAATAATAAGAAGAATTTAAAGTATTTAGGGGCGGGGCTAAGCCTGCTGTAACTCTCCCATGAACCGGTTCAGAAAAGAAGTGAAGGCAGATACTGAATTGATAAGTGAATGTAAATAACAACAGTTCCAGTACTAAAAACATAGATTTTCTTCATTTATGAACGTTACCACATCAACAAAAGTCAATCACTGTTTCAAAGCACTCCAGATCCACGAGAAATCTGCAGCACTTCCTGTCTGAGCAGACGGCCTGTCCTGAGATTTGTAGCAGCTGTCAGTAATTCTTAATCTCTAACCTTGAGTCTGCCCCGGTACACACTGACACACTTTGTAATGTCGTGTGGAATTTTGGCTCCTCAAACCTTGTGCTGCTGCGACTGCTATCTGAACGCATTGTGTAAAAAAAAAAATACAATGTGATTCAAATGAACCCGAGTTGTTTTTTCTAGTCAAATGACACAGTTAACTGTTAAAAAACAAAAACAAAAACATTAGACAACTCCAACTGAACTTTTTGACTTTTATTTTAGTCATTCTTTTTACTTTTTTTGACAATGAACTGAAACATGTTTGACTTTTTTGACTTTTTTTTAGTCATTCTTTTTACTTTTTTGACAATGAACTGAAACATGTTTATGGCACCTCCTGGTGTCCTGGTGGTAACTCTACAGAAATGTCCCAGTTTAGAAAATCAGAAACAGAGATATAATTCAATATGTATGAACCTTATGTGCAGTGATCTGTGGGAGTTTCCTAGTTGAGTGTGTGTGTGTGTGTGTACATAAAACCCTATGCTACTTTTGTCCCATCCACTGTGTGCACACACTCCCAGTAACAGATGAAATCCAGTCAGTGCAAAGTGAATTATTCAGCAATTTGTTGTTGTTCTGGCAGAAGCCGCTGGTTAATTTGTTTATCACACAGTCCGTGCTGCAGCTCCCCCTCCATGAAGCTCTTTGACTGCAGCCAGTGAGACAAGGCTCTGGCCAAGCCTGGAAGCTGGCTGATAGTCTGCTGCGTGGAGCTCCGCCTCCTATGACTTACTCTGATCCGTAGACTGCATTGAAACACGCACTGAGTGGTTGCTAAGATGACATAAGACGGAGATTTATAATAGCAATAGTGCCGCTCGATGCTGCGAGTAATTAGTCTGACTGTCTGCATCAGTCAAAGACAAGAAAACCACACTTTTATAAAACGACTTTTCTTCCAAGTGGAGTTGTACTGACACAAATTACACAAAAGTCAGACTAACACAGACAGCAAGATCATTTGACTGAGTTAAAAAAACAAGACTTAACGTATTGATTGAGCTCATAAACTCTACACTAGAATATTTGATGTACATCAAGTTAGATGAAGCCTCAATTTCTCAAAAACCACATTAGAGACCAGCAGGTTGGATCTGGTCTACTTTCACCTTGTGGGAGGAGATAAAGCCATTTTTAATGTATGGTCTATGAAA